AAAAAATAAATAATAAAAATAAAAATAAAAACAAACAAACCAAAAAAACCCCGAAAAGTTCAGCGAGTGCCAACAAAATCATATAGATTCTACCTGACAGCAATTATTTTGAAGAGTCGTGTAAACGTAGATATCTAGATATTCGTCATTCATGAGGAGTGATGAGGTCGACTGTTGAAAGATAAACAGTAAAATAAAATAAAAACGCTTGCGTACGTACAAGGGATTTCTTAATTTCTGTTCTGTAATGTTTTTCTCTGAGCAGTTAAAACAATAATGCGTTAAATTTGTTTTATTCCGATCCACAAAACTTGTACTATTGAAGTTTGAAAGCACTATAGGCTTATAATAAATGTATCAATAAAGACAGAGCAAGTCTGTTCTAAGCATGCAGTAAATTATGCTTTATTTACTATGTACTGTGTACCGTGTCTTGTTTCAATTGTTTCACAGCAGATTGTGACATGCTTTGCACCGTTCATAGTTTTTGAAAATTTGGCTTGATCACCAGTTCTTCTGCTTCCGGGTTATTTGTAAAGATAGTAACTAGGAGGGTGTGAGGTTGAGTGATAACGACTGGCCTTGGCCATAGAGATCGTGTCCATAGCCAAGATAGGCTATATAAGCTGAGCGGAAAAGAAGGTGGACACAAGACAAATTATTGGTGGCCTGTTTTACCCGTGACAACGATTCCCCGTAAAGAAAGATGGGTGTCAGCTCCCAACTTGGTTCACTGATCTTTTTCATTGGACTGTTTAACTACGTAAGTTGTGATGTGCTTGAACTTTCTCTAACTGAGCTCCGACTCTGTAGCCTAGCCTACTTTTAACTTCGACTTTTAAACTTATTAAATTTAATTGTTTAGTTCAGAGAGCTCATTTATTTTGTGATAGATCTAGATCTAGATATCATTTAGTGCTACTGGTATCATTGTAAATTTTGTTTGTGCTTCTCGTGGGTGTGACGTGAGGTTTTGAATATATAACCGCCCGTGAGCCACATGCACAGCTTCATCATACCACTTGTTTTGTCAGGACCAGGTAGTTGAGGTAGGCGTCGTTGTACCACCAACACGGAACCTTTCATAACTTTAAATAAAAAATTTTTAGCCTGGTATTCTAAATTTGCTATTATACAATTTATTTTATCTAGAATTTAGATATCTAGAATCTAGATCTAGATGTAGATTCTAGCCTCTGCTCTGCCTCTTCTCTGGATAGGCTTTGAAGTCAAATGAAGTAAAACAACATTGTGATTGTGTAGTAATGTATGTAGATCTAATACTAATGTGGTTGTAGATCTAGATCTAGTGTGCGTCATGTTGAGAACTTCCATTACATCTTATGTAGATCTAGTGTCAATTGCCACCGAGTGACGCGGTGGCAATTGACAAAAATTGACTTTTTGTCAATTGCCACCGAGTAAATTTGGAGCTCTTTTGCATTGGCGGGTAGATCTAGCTTATTGTGCTCGAGTGCTAGGTGTTGTCCGTTCGCCTCTCTGTCCCTCCGTGTGTGTGTGTGTGTGTATTTTCCTGACCCCCGTCCCCCGATTTATGTTCCCCGATATAACATGAATTTCTGCTTGAGTTTGTGTGCGTTTGTGACCTACTTCTAGAATTGCCTGTGTTGGTTCAACACCAAAGTGTAGGCTAAGTCTAGCCTAGATCTAGGCCTACGTCTCATTGAAAACATGCCAAGTTGGTAGGCCTACCATAGCTCTAGATTAGATGCTCGTCCAATGAAATTAGTTGAAAACAAATTGACCCATTAGACACACATTATGTATAATGCTAAAGACAGTGTTGTTTTCAGACTTGACACCGCTTCACTCGGTGGCAATTGACGCTACCTACATCTTTTTACGAGCAACCACCCTAACATATATAGACCTGCATGTTTGCAGACAATCGTCTGAAATCCGACAATTGCGACCCCGACCCGCGAACCGGCCGATGCTATGGCTAGGCCCACCTGTATTAGTCAATGTTCGAAGTGCGAGGCCTGGCCGTGTAACAGCGACCCCTTTTTCTCCCGTCGGCTTTGTCGGCACTTTCGTTTTCGTGTCGACCGCCGACGCGCGCACCGCCGACTGCCAACGTCGGCGTTTCCGACATAATTGTCGGAACCTGAGTAGAAATACGAATACGAAAAAGTACGACGACTTAAATTATCTACTTTCAGTTTCTTGCTCGAGCGGCCATTTTGAATTTCGTTTGTTTACTGATTGTTCAGATCATGTGGATTCTTTCGAGTCCGACTCACTTGTTCTACTCTAGATCGAGATTTATATAGAGATCATTATAGTAAATTATAGACCTCAATGGAGGATTCATATTCCAATTCTATTGTGTCAAACCATATTATAGGTTGTGCTGTAATATTAATGTTTGTAAAACGCATTTTATCAGGTGCGTGAATTATTTACTTAGAATAAAGATCTAGATCTAGATCTAGCCCCCTAGACTCAGCTGAGTCCCTCTCTTCGGAATCGGATGCGGATTTCTCGTTCAAGGCCTAGATTCTAGATCTATTCCTATTCACTTGTTCTACTAGATCTAGATCTAGATCTAGATTTATTTAGATTTAGATCACAGATCTATATGGAGGATTCATGAGATCTTTATCCAATTCTATTGTATCAAACTCTTTATAGCAATGTAGGCCATATTATTTTTATTATAAATTATAAATGCTCCTTGTTTGTTTTGGAGTGTGCTTATTTCTTTCTTTTTTTTTTCTTTTTTTTTTGACTTGTGCTGGCCTTTTTACACGAGGGCCGTTGCAGGTTCTTTTTTGGGTTAGGCCTAGGGGTAGGCCGATAGGGTTTGGGTTAGGTTTAGGTCTCTTCTTTATTGTGTTTGTTCGGGTGGTCGCTCGTTACTCGGAAGTCCTTCCTTTTATGACACCCACAATTTAAAAGCTCTAAAGTTACGGGGGGGGGGGTTGCACAAAATTTTCAGACAATCTGGTTGAGGCTCACATGCAGGTCTACATATATATACTAACAAACGGGGTGAGAATAGTGCAGGCGAGTCTTTTGGCTATTCTCATCCGGTGCGCGTTCACCGTTATAGCCTAGATCTAGGCCAACAAATTTTGCGTTCACCCTAAACCACAGAATTCTACACTGTGATAACAGAAAAATTGTAGAATTCTGTGCTGTGAACAAACGTTCCATTACAACTGTAGCCTACTAAAAGCGTACAATTTTGTCTGTGGGCAGTGGAGAGAGAAAGAGAGAGAACAAAACAAAATGGCGACCCACGTAGTTCGGCTCGATTCGAAAAGTTAAATAGCCGTAGCATCTTTGTAGACAACCAAATTAATTTACTTTTGTTTGTGTTTTAACATCATTTTTTAACTTTGTTTTGGTCAATTTGATCGTCCACACCGATAGACAGTATTCAGAAAGAGAGAGAAGAGGGGAGGAGTAGATCTTGCGAGAACTTCCAGCGGGTGAGAATAGCCACTTTCATCTAGTAATCCCAGCCATAATCCTAACCCATTTCCTAGTGGTCACTCGTTACGGAATTTGTCCCACTGCCTAGCCTCTAGGCTAGGCCCAGTAGTGTGTGTAGATCTAGTCTAGATCTAGTGTATTAGTGTTGAGTAAGCTAAGACTAGACTATAAATCTAGATTTTAGGTCCAAGTGTCAAAAGTATTATAACAAAGATTCTTTTTGTCCTAAATAATAAATGAGGTATATGACAATGCTTTTTCTACTAGACATCTAGATCTAGTGCTACTGGCATTCTTGTATTTTCTACGAGTTTTCTATGATGACTACTCTACTTTACTATTATTTCCACTTCTACTGCCACGTAGAACATTTCTAATCTCTTTTTTCTTTGCCTTTTTCTTTTCCGGTCCACAATCAGTTACAATCAGTAGGATTGTTGTTGGTTAATTTCAGTCATTCAGAAGCACTCACTAAAAATATGGTAGGCCTATGACGTTTTACCAAAGGAAGTGGCTATTCTCACCCCGGTTGAGAATAAAAATACGATCGGTTTCTCACCCCTGGTGAGACTTGCCAACTTTGGCTTTTCTCTCCCGATGTGAAACAAGACCTGTTTTTCCTTTTTTCTGAATACTGTCTATCGGTGTGGATGATCAAATTGACAAAAAACAAAGAAAATGAATCGAGCCAAACTACGCGGGTCGCCATTTTGTTTTGCCTGGAAGTTCTCACTATGCATACTCCTCTCTCTCTCTCTCTCTCTCTCTCTCTCTCTCTCTCTCTCTCTCTCTCTCAGTCGTCCTTTATCTTAAGGGCTGCTGACCCAGGAGTCTACAGGCTGTGGTTTGTACAGTGGGCAGTTGGGGGGTTCTATTTCTTCTGATATAAATAATATTTTGTTTTATCTGCGTGTCTTCCTTTTTCCAGGATCGAATATGACCATTCTTTTACATTCTTGTTCAAATACTTTAGGTATTACAACCCAAAAATTTTATTTTCAAATCAGTACTTTTTTTGTTTTTGTCAGTAAAGATCTAGCCATCATTAAGTCTAGCAGTCCTTAAGGGGAGATGTACACTCTTCAGGGAGGGGGGGGGGGGGGGGGGATCGGTAGTTTTATTATGGTAAAACATCTCTAAAAATATAGGTCTTTACCAGTTTATGTCAGTGTACACGTTTGTTTGCCAAAGTGGCTCTTTAGGTCAACTCCTATCTCTGTATCTGCCAGAATTAAAATCGTGGCTCATCCTGAGCCTCCAGGATTAAACTTGTTCTATTTCATTTAGAATTCTCATAATTTTGTATTTTCCAGTAATTTTTAATTTAGTTCTGCTTCGTTCACAATGCAAAAAAATAACAAAATGTGGCTCTGAAATCGGGTGCTCGTCAATTTGGAGTTATTGTTATCATCAAAGGCTGTCTATTTGCCTTGCTAATGCTTTTGATGAAAAAAATATCTATTTATCATGGATACAAGTTAAGATATTGGTGATTGAAGGAAGTGGAGTTGCTTAGTTTCAGAGGTAAAATTAGCAAGAAAATGGATGCCAAAGAGAGTTATTTCCATAGTTTGAGTGTCCGTGGAAACTGAAAATATCTTTTATACCTTAAGTCAACATTTTTCAGTACAATTCACTCCGAAATGTGTGCTTTAAAAGGCATGAAAGCTGTTAAGCCAAAAAAATGAAATTTGATAAAAATTTCCAAACCTGAAGAAAAATACCAGTTTCTTGACTTTCATTATTTTGACGCAACGCCTGATTTCACCACACTGCCTCACATATCATCAATATGGGGAGGTGAATAATGAGCTTCAAGGCAGAAAAAGCAGGTGTATTGTAGAGGAAATATGAAAAATAATCTTGGTTTGGAAAGTGACTCGGGTTCTAAAATTAAAATTGTCAATGACTCAACATGCTGCCACTTTAAAAAATATGCTTTAACTCTTTCCTGGTGTGTGTTTTTGGGGGTTTAGAGGTAGTTTTAACTTGTGGGTTGATTTGGCTTTACAGGTGATGTACAAAATATCTTCATATAAATATAGAGGGAAATTGAATGAGGAATACATTTAGACACAAAACAAGGGTTTGTTTTGAACAAGCATACACATTACAAGGTTTAAACTGAGTGATAATGATGAGAATTATAAATTTTTATGGAAAAAAATACACAATCCAAAATTTTGAAAGCAAGTCAGCAGCTATCTAATCATATCAGGCCAAGAGCATATTTCTTACATTTCTGAAATTACAGCTTTTTGTTTGAAAGCAATATTCCAATTTTGTTTGACGTTATTTCAAGTACAGGTACATCATTCTATTGATGCAAGACTGTAAGAATGGATTTACTCATTTATCTCCAAACTGATGCCTTGACAAAGAGAAACTAGATCTAGATATTTTTGTTTCCTTAATCCTTTCCCAAGTTTTCTAGTAATATTTACTTGTAAATTACGGATTGTGTTAAAATGAAACAAAACTGAGGCACCCCATCATTGCAATAAATCCGCTATGCATCCGGAATGTGATTGACCAGGGAACCTAGAAGAGGGCTGAACTTCTCAAAAGTCCCTTTCCTTGGACCAGAGGAAAAGTTGAGAGTTACATTTTGAATTTGAGAATCTCTCTAGACCTTTATGGTCTAGAATAGCATCTGTGTCCAACCATTCTTATGTAATGTAATAATTATATTTGTAAAGTTCATAATAATGAATTTCACATTCATGAAACTGGCTGGTGTCACAAAACGTACAAACTGCCTACTTCTGACATTGTCCGAGATTGGAATGAAGATAGATGGGTTTAGCTGTGAAGGGGGGCGGGGGGAGGAGACCAGGGAGGCGGGCAAAGTGGTGTGTTTGGAGTATGGACTTTGGACACCTTTTCATATCTTTCAAACAAACTTTTTTTTTAGCGTTAATCATTGGCAGTGAATGTTTATTGTGTTGACCTGGTTTGTTCATCAATGGTACAGAGTCAAAATCCTTTTATTTAATCTGTCCCCCATCTTACTTTTCCATCTTTCATTACAACTGGCCTGGCACTTATGGCAATGTGTAAGGTTGACTTTTCCTGTCCTTTCAGGTCTGCTCCCCTTTTGCCCATTCTCTTAATAAGTTTGACTTAATTACTTCTTATCTCATGGAATGGTTTGAAATAAAATAAAACAGTGAATGTTAGACATAGTAAGACGAGGAAATGTACACACTACACCGGTTAGGTCATCCAAACCCTTTGTTCTCAATGGTGTAGGACTGATAATATGCTTTCAGTTGTCCCTCTTTTTTGGCGGTGGTATACCTGACATACATACCCCGATACCCTGAGATAAACTATCACTAATGGCATGTCTTCAACTTCAAAGAAGGCCTTGTCATGTGATGTAGGTTAACTTATCATCAGGGTTTGTATCAGAAGGTCAGGATCAACAATTTATTGAAGTGAAAGTTTCTGTTCTATAGTTGTGTGTCTTGAGGTGAAGTAGATACATCTTTCATAACTTATTATCCTCTCTCTGTTATGAGTGTTAGTGGAAAAAAAAACCATTCTGTAATGTACTATTTTGTTGATATTATAAGAATACAGTAAAAAAAATCAAGTGACTCATGGTCATCCCATTTCCTCTAAGCCTGTATTTCTATCTACTTTGTATAATAAATTGCTTTTATCATCTTGCGCCATAGTTACATATTTTAATGTTAATACTTTTTAGAAAAGGGGGTTGAGTGTTTTCTGAAATAGTTTTGATCCATGTGAATGCTTTGTTGCTGCCAGTGCACAACATTGTCTGGCGTGCTTTTTGGGGGAGAAAAGCAAGATTTTCTAATGTGGAGTTTGTCAGTTGTTAATGCAGTCTTTGAAAATTAGCCAAACAAAAAAGTATTTGGATGAAAAATGCCTTTTAATTGCAGGTCAAAAGTTTTTTGTTTGTTGTTTTTTTCTTGGTTTTTTTTTTTTTTTTTTTTTTTTGCTTTTGTTTTGTTTATTTGTTTTTTGTTTAAAGTTTAAAAGTAACTTTTAAACTTGTTAACTTTTAAA